CCTGGCACAGGTGAGTGGGGCCCAGGTGAGCCTGGCATGGCCAGGGCAGCTTGGGAAGCCTCTGCTCACTGCAGACATCGCCTGTGAAAAGGGCAGTGGCTCTTTAGGGAGCAGCAGGAGCTGAGCAGAGCTGAAATGTCTCTCTGAATGTCTGAAATCTCCCTGGAGATGTCACTTTGTGCCTCTGCACCCATCCTGAGCAAGGAAGGCACCGAGGGGCTGGCTCTGCTCTCCCAAACAACAAGGACAAGAGGAAATGGCCTCAGGTGGTGCCAGGGGAGACTCCAGTTGGATTTTAGGGTAAAATCCTTTTCTGAAAGGGTTTCAGGTGCTGGGACAGCCTGCCCAGGGAGATGCTGGAGTCACTGTCCCCTCTGAAATGGGCTGAGGGAATTTGTTTTATCCAAGCCAATGCACAGAGGGGAAAAAGTAAGCAGGTGTTTTCTGCAGGGTGAGCTGAGAACAGCGGCCATGTGCCACTAACATAAAGTTATAACAGTGCTGGAAAGTGATGGGCACTAACATACAGTTATAACTAGCATAAAGTTATAACATGACTAACATAAAGTTATAACTGACATAAAGTTATAACAGTGCTGGAAAGCGATGGGCACTAACATACAGTTATAACATAACTAACATACAGTTATAACATAACTAACATACAGTTATAACATAACTGACATAAAGTTATAACAGTGCTGGAAAGCGATGGGCATCTAATTCCCTGATTTCAGCACTGCCAAGCCATTATTGCAGGAATCAGCTCTGGCCCCGCGGCTGATTGTTCCCCTAAGCCCGAGGGTAATTCCAGAGTGACAAGGGCGCTTTACTCAGACAAAAAACACAAATAAACCCTCTGCAAACCACAGGGACAGCGACTGAGAGACTGCGTTAACAGCTGAGCATTTGCAAACTCTAAAGCTTGGATTTCACGGATCACAGTTTAATATGCAGCAGCAAAAGCCCTTCTGAAAAGCCTTAATTCGTTGTTTCCTTTGTTTTCCCCGAATATTTCCGTGTGCTCTGGCTGCAGAGGGAGCAGCATCCTGCCCGTACCTGCTCCCACATCACTGCAGTCCCTGCTGGGGCTGCTCTGGGTGCCACCACAGCCATTTGCAGGCAGAAATTGGGCCGTGATTATCCTTAGCAGAGCTATTTTGGGACACAAATACGAGAGTCTGATCATACACAGCAGCCTGTCATTTGCCTGATTGATGTGGGGCTCTGCATTGTCTGCAGCTAATTCTGACAGACAGGCACCGAGGTTTTCTGTGCAGTTATCTCTGCCTGATCGTGCACGCCTCACAGCGCCAGGAAATTTGATTTAAGTGATGTGCAATAAACTCTCTGATTACTGACACACGTTATAATGAATCGCTTCTGACAAGTCTGACTTGGGTTTGTTGTGTGGTGTCTTCCACATCTCACTGTGTGGAATGACTATAATCATTCTCTGAAGGCTTTTTAATGCATGTGTTTGAGCTGGAAATGTGGGTTTTCCTTTTTAATTTTCAGTGCAGTTTCTGTGCTCCCTTTTCCCCTTGCATGCCAGCAGGACTCTGTCGCAGACATCTTTTCATGAAAATCTTTTTCTTGGCATTTTTTCTTCCTGAGAAGCTGTGAAGCTTCAGAGACCAAATGCAAACAATGGTTATCTGCTGCTGTGGAATGCAACAGGTGCATCTGGGATTGGTCTCATGTGCTTGTTTGTAATTAATGGCCAACCATGCTGCAGTGGAAGTGGGCTTGGCATCCTAACGTGGACCTGAGAAAATCCTGGCAGAGATCTGCCCTGCCAGGAGATGTAGCTGATCAATAAGTAATCGAGTTTTGTTTGTCTTTCAGGCGTTTTTGAAAGCTATTGAAGACTTCCTGTTGCTGTCTGACTGGATTGATGGACCAGAGGTAAGAGAAATGGGCTCAGATTGGTGATTTCCCTCAGCAGCACAAATCCTCATGATGGTAACTGAAATGATTGCCACTATTACTTCTCTTTTTGGCACTATGACTTATTTTATCATCTGTCACTGATGAAAGACCTGCGGGGTGAATCCAGAAATTTCCTGAGTTTTTTACTTGGATCTTAAAAAAACCACAGATTTCAGGAGAGAGAGAGCTTTTAAACTGAGAGAATGAGAAGCTAAAGCACAGGGAGGTCTCACTGAAGCCTAAAATGCTTTTGAGACCAAAGGATGTCTAATTGATTTAAGTTCTTAGTGTCAGATCCTTGCTCATCTCTGTTGTAAATGGATTTCAGATAAAACAGGTTTCCTTTTCACTAGAACATGCATTAACTGTGAGATTTCATGAATCAAGTTTCAGCCTGGAGGGTTAAAGTTCCTTCTACGCTGAGGAGCATTAGAATAAAGATGAAAGAAAGGCTGATCTGCGGCGTCTCAGCTGGTGCTCCGAGCAAGACCTGGTGCCAATCTTTGGATATTGTCAGGAACAATTCTGCCCGGTTGTGGCCTCATCCTGCTCAGTGCTGAGTGCAGCTGGCTGTGGGGCAGCTCTGCTTTGGCTGCCCTGCAGATGTGATGGTGTTCACAGGGGTAAGAGGATGAGGGAAGAGATGAGCATCTGACCCCATGTTTAAAAAGGCTGATTTATTATTTTATTATATATATTACATTAAAACTATACTAAAAGAATAGAAGAAAGGATTTCATCAGAAGGCTGGCTAAAAATAGAAAAGGAAAGAATGATAACAAAGGTTTGTAGCTCTGGCTCTCTGTCTGAGCCAGCTGACTGTGATTGGCCATTAATTAGAAACTACCACATGAGCCCAATCACAGATGCACCTGTTGCATTCCACAGCAGCAGATAACCATTGTTTGCATTTTGTTCCTGAGGCCTCTCAGCTTCTCAGGAGGGAAAATCCTAAGGAAAGGATTTTTCATGAAAAGATATCTGCGACATACAAACATTTTGGGAATTACACTCTGGGTGGCCTTGGTTTGAGTGACACCTTCTCCAGGGAGGGTGGGAGCCCCTGGGCTGGGCTCTGTCCCAGCTCACCCGTGTCCATCTGTCTGTCCCTGCTGACCCGTGTCTGTGTGTCCGTCCCTCCGCAGAGCCCCGCCGTGCTCAGCAGCCTGATCCACACCATCGACACGGTGCTGGCTCACCTGTCCCTGCACCTGGAGGGGAACTCGCTGCCTGTGACCCTCGAGGGCTCCTCGCCCGTGGCAGGTGGGGCTGCACAGCTGGCACAGCTGGTGGGGCTGGCACAGCTGGCACAGCTGCACAGGTGGGGGCTGGCACAGCTGGTGGGGCTGGCACAGCTGCACAGGTGGGGGCTGGCACAGCTGGCACAGCTGCTGGGGGTGGCACAGCTGGCACAGCTGGTGGGGCTGGCACAGCTGGCACAGCTGCACAGGTGGGGGCTGGCACAGCTGCTGGGGGTGGCACAGCTGGCACAGCTGCCGGGGGTGGCACAGCTGCTCCTCTTCTCCTGAACCCCTGGGCCTGAGCCCTCCTTGCCAGCACATACACAGCTCCTCATCCCTCTGAGCAATGCCAAACTGAGTTTTATTTGTCACTGGAGGTGATGGGCTCTGGCTGTGCTTGAGCTTCCCCGGGGTTGTTTGGGGAGGATTCAGAATCAGGGTTACGTGTGAAGGGTTCAGTAATGCTGTGCTAATGGAGTTAAAGGGCCTGGAGCTCATGTGCAGCCCCTGGAGGTTTGGGTGCTACAAAACCTTCATCTTTGCAGTGGTTTTGCAAGAGACTGAAAATGATAGGAATAGTTTTGACCTTTTTGGGGAATTTTATTTTACTGCGGGTTAGCATCTTGGCGCCCTAATTTGATCTGCACCTTTGGATGCTGCAGGTGTCAGAGGTGTTTTATCTGCAGGTGTCAGAGGTATTTAATCTGCTCTGGTTGCCTGCTCTGCCTTTTGAGCCCCCTCAGAGGGGTGAATAACTGAGCAGCCCCAGGCACCCATCACTGTGTATCACACACTGGGGTCTCAGGTGCAGCGCTCAGTGCCTGCAGGAGGGCTGCTCTGCCTTTCCTGGGGGGCTCTGAGCAGGGCTGGGGGCTCTGGGGGGCTCGGAGCCTGTTCGGGGGTCTAATACAGGAATATTGAAATGGCTGCAGCAGCTCAGGGAGGCAGGTCAGGCAGGCAGGGGCTGCAGGGGCTGCGCTGATGTTTCTGTCTGGCTGTCCCACAGATTATGCTGTGGTCAAAATGCTCCCTCAGAGCCTGAATGTGTCCCACTATCGGTTCCCATCCCGGGGGCAGAGCTACATCTCCATTCCCAGCGAGGCTTTCCATGGAAAAGGTAAGGAAGAGACCAAAGAGAGAACTGGACCTGTGTGCACAGGGTACCCAGAATGATTTTGCTGTGGAACAGCTTTTGGTTCACTCTATTTTCCCAGGTAACTGATTTGATCCCTGTGGATTGCACTGAGCCTGAGGAAGCAGCAGCAGCCCTGTCAGGCTAACGAGCAATTAATGTGGTGCAGTTCTCATACTAATTGGATTAATATTGAATAATGGGGCTGAGCTACAGAGACCGAAGCCATTTCATTCTGACACATTTTTACATCAGAGAAGCCATAATTTCACAATTATTCTTTTATAATTATCTGAACTGGTTATTTTTAAGAAATTCTAGGATGTCAGGTCAGGTATTACCTATCCCTTCATGCAAAATTGGTCTTTTGTCTAAAATTAAACTGTAAAATGAGAGGTTTAAGCAATAGCAGCTACATGAACAGAATGAAGATACAGACTACACTCATGGCAAAAAGGCAGAACTCAGAAATCCATACCTATGCAAAAGTTTTAAAAATCCCCAAAGAAGCATGGCTAAAATCTGCACCTTTAGTCAAGACTCTGAAATAGCAATGTTAATTATCTGTGCTTTACTCAGAGGTTGAAGGAAGCCATTTACAAAAGCATCTATTCCATTCTCAAATGTTTGAAATTGTGACTTGTGTGCCCCAAATTCCAGCCCACAGAATTTACCCACCCAGAGGCTTTTCTGCAGCCACCTCTGGGGAGGGATGGTCTGTCCCTGCTCCATGAAGTACAAAGTTAGCTGAAAATAACCTGCAGTGAGGAATCCCGTGCTAATTACTGACCTGTGTGCCTGATTGGGGGTGGCAGCTCTGTTTCTCTGCACTGGCAGGGGCTCTGGCTGCAGACTGCAAGTCCTCCCAGGTTTGAATAACTGCAATTGCAAACCAACTTGGAATGCCAAAAATAGCATGTGAGGGGAGTTTTTCCCTTTCCCACTTCTGGAGCTCCTCACCATACAGGTCTTTGATTTTCCAGAACATTGTCGTGCTTTGTTTTAATGTAATATATATAATAAAATAACAAATCAAACCTTCTGAAGCACGGAGTCAGATCCTCGTCTCTTCCCTCTCCCTCAGACCCCTGTGAGCACGGTCACAGGGCAGGGATGGGCAAGGAGGGAACAGGGGCTGCAGCCCTGGAA